TTCTTAGGTATTTGACAGGAATGGTTGACAAAAGAACACTTGAAAAATACGAAAGAGAAGCTAAAGAAAAAAACAGAGAAACATGGTATGAATTTGCTGAAGATAACTGCTTTTCTTTGCTCAGTGACGAAAAAGGGAAACTGTTTCTGAGTCTCTGTCCCTGTAGCACTGGCTGCCTGCTGGAAGGGGTTTTGAGGTGGGGGGAGGAGTATCTTGTTTTCCTCCAGTGCTTCTGTAACTAAAACTATACGAAACAGTGCAATTCACACAGGTGAGGTTTGGGGGGGGGGGGGTTTGGTTTTGGGTTTTAGATCAGTGCTTTACATCCCGATGCTTTGGTAAACCTCTTGTCTGGTGAAAAAGGAATGCCCGGCAGACATTTTCTGGGGCAGCTCTTGGGGTCATTCTGGCTGTCAGGCTTTCACCTGTAACCAGCAGAGAGATGTCTCAGGGACGGCGATCACAGCTGTCAGTCAGGCAGATGTGAGGAGAAGAGCGAGTGAATAGTTTTGGTTGTCGCCTTATCTCTCATTTTTATATGCATAAAGATGGGGTCTGCAGCTCTAAAGTTTCCTCCAGGCAAAAACATGCTGATGTTGTGTGGATTTTTTGCAGGTCTCTTGTTAGTGTTGGGTTTTGTTGTCTTTTGGTTGGGTTTTGGATTCGTGTGTGTGTGTATATACAGCACATATAGCAGCCTGCTTTCTCCTTCAAACAACTCCTAGAAAATTGATTTTCCTTTTGGAAGCTGTGGTGGAGGAAAATAGGCGTTCAAAGGGCTCTGGAAAAGAAGCAGCTAAACACTTCCTTAAGGGGTAGAGCAGCGATGGAGTGCTAAGGGGTGGGCATTGACCTGAACTAATTGTGTTATGTGCACAAGAGGCAGGTAGAAAGGGCAACATACGTTCTTTTTATCAAGTAAGCATCATCTCCCTTCACCATAGTAATACATTTTTTGGGACCTTCCTCAAGCTTGAAAAACAGTTTTCCTCTTTTAGTGAGTTGCAGGAAGCGCCTCCTTGAGTGTTGTTTTTATTCTTTAAAATACATCATGATAGACAACAGAAAGTATGATGTACCTCTGTATCATTCTCAAAGGTCTTGTTGGCTCACTTCATATGTTGAGAGCCTTCAAATTTGAGCAGTTTTACTTGCAATTCAGAAAATTCTGTACTGTATCGCAGAGCTGACGTACCAGTCCAAAATGCATCTCTCCCCCAAAAAACCCTATATGCAAAGCAGACTTCCCATCCAGGTACCACACAGAGATTCCTGCTTGACTCTCGCTAGCTGAGTAAAACCTGGCCTTTGGCTGAAACCTTCAGAAATGCAGGCCGTGGCGAAGGTTAGCACAGAGGAGCACCACGCTGGTACACACCAAAAGCCTTCTAGCATGCTGTCTTGACCTCAATCAGTGACAAATAGCTCCTGCCTCGGGAA